AATTCCAGTGCAAAAAAGAAACCCCGATGAAAAAAAGCCTATAAAACACGCCAAAAATAACCCCAAACCCAAACCTCTGCTTGGAGAGTAGAGTTGGCTTCCGACCAGCGAACTTGTCCACACAAAATCGTGTTTGCCTCCAAGTTCCGGTGTTCTGACCACAAACACCGCATATTGACTGTTTGTGCGACCTTCCAACAGATGTAAGGATGCTGTGGGCACGGGTTAATGTTCAACGTTTGTTTTAAGGCTTCTAATCTCCAAGCAGATGCAGTAGTGTATCTTTTACTACTCTCCAAGTAGAGGTTTGGGCTTTCGCTTATTTCTGGCTTGATTTTAGTTTTTTTATATGGCTTTCTTTTCTTGCACTGATATGGCACAAAAAAGGTAACACTGCAAAAAAAGAAAGCTACTACTACGGTAAAAAAAAACATAAAACACGTCAAAAGTACGCTAAAACCCAAACCTCTGCTTGGAGAGTTATGTTTTACCGTGTTTTTGTGTTTCTCTTTTATGTTCTAAGTACTTCAAGCGGTCTTTTGTTCATTTTTTTCTCTCGTTTATAGGTTGACCTTGGCAATGAAAAGTTCGGGACATCATACCGTTTACCCACAATCCACCTGACGCAAGCAGCGTCCTCAAGCGACCAGGATTACAACTGCACCTAAACTTGTAGTTCTATGGCGAGCTTTAGGCCACGCCGACTTCATTGTACAAACGGTTTTGATTCAGTGGGAACATCACATATACACAGGCACCATCACAAATGAAATACTAGTAAATAAAATGCATCACTGCATCAAAGTAAAAGACAAAACAAGAAATCAGAGCCTTGTCTTTTTTCTCCTCTCTTGATATTTATCTGCTATCCACCTTCCGGCATGGCAACAGACATCTTTGCACATTTTCGCCATGTTAACCACTGTCAGAGGGCAACAAAATGTCTTCTTTTTTTCCCCAAAATCACACAAAAATTAATGCGCGCGTTGATGTCATCCATAAAAATTACTTGCTGTGGCCTTACATGTGTACTATTGAGCGGCCCAAATGTCATCTGTCTATATATTGACCCATCTGGCCAATTTCTACCCTTTCCAGCTGCTTTTCGAAGCCCGACAGAGACTATTATCCTACATGTACAAGTCAAGCCAATCTTTATTGCACAACAATTGTAACGGATACAATGCATGGCAAACTCCTCAGTACTGCATATTAGCCTAGTACAGTATCCTTGTGTATGTATGTCCATGGATTTTTACCTCCATGGTATGTCTAAGTCAAGTAGTGTATCTTTTGTCTCCACTTTTCTACATACGTTTGTTATGTGTCTGTTAAGTCTTGACCTGTACCTAGCCCGTCGTGGCATGAATGTACAAATAAAGGTATTTCATTTCATTTCATATCTAGCTAACATCTACTCTCACATCCACAGTAATGCTCACAAGTTCTATGTATCGCAAATAACATACTATTTCAGAAAGGTAATACAGTACATGTATATATGTACATACACGCACCTAGACTCCATAATGAAACACACACGTGGATAAAACCGTCCGTTTGCCGCCAAGGGGAACGACCGTCCGAACGCTCGTGCCATGTTTAATTCGAACATCAGCCTCTGACGTCATCTACCTACCAAGGAGACGGCTCGGTATGACGTGTCTATGACGTCACCTGCCGCGTTCTACGCGCGTATCAACTTTTTACATGAGATTACGTCAAAGAGAAGGCCGCTTGGCTTGGGAATCCTGTCTTTATAAATCAAAATCCTTACAAAGAGAATCGGTAACATTGTCGTGCCGTAGAGGTGGGCGATTGTTGAACCGTTCTGGACACGCGTGGACTATCCAGAACCAGTCTCTACCAGACTAAACTACGCTGGCTATATATAAGCCAAAAAGGATATGATTTTGGAAACGGTCAGACGTTTCAGCTAGTATCCACTAGCTTTCGTCAGTGACTGAAGTCCATGGAGTTAAAGACTCTAGCTCCATGGTC